TAATTGGCCCCATTTCAGAAAAAATAAAAGTATGAGGAACATTAGGCATGCACTGCCCAAGAGCTAATTTCAGTGCATGCATTGGAACAGTAGGCATGCACTGCCCAAGTGTTGTATTTCAGTGCATGCGTTAGGAAAGATTACCTTGTAAAGATGAAAAATGAAAGTTTGTCTTAAGAAAAGATTTATCAATCACATAGAAAAAAAAAATCTAAACATACATAAAAACACAAAACCCTATTTAAATCACAACACCTTCATGCACTTCTCCCAAATTCAATTTACGTCCAAGAGTTTAAGAGTTCATTTATTGTTCAACTTAAGAGAAAGATAAAAGATATGTTATTTTATTTTTTTTACATTTTGAATTTAGTTATAAAAATAATTAGATTAGTTTTTTGTGCTCTTCTTTTCCCCTAATGTTTTTCTTTTTCTTGGTAGATGGATTTAGATCCAAGGTGGAATTCTAAAAATAGGGATGAGTGTGAGGTGGAGGAAGAAAATAGTGATGAGGATGAGATGGAGAAACAAGCTATAGAACAAAGAGAGAAGGAGGTGGAAGGTAGACGAAAAAGGGATAATGTCTTTATTCTCTTATTCACTTAGGTACTTCAATATATTCAAGATATATTTTGAAATATCTTAACAAATAAAAAATAAGAGTTTCAAGACTTTCAGGTTGGCAATGGGTGCAAGAGACATTAGTAACTCCAAGTGAAAGTTATAAATTATTTAGAATGGAACCGCATGTTTTTAAGGGATTATGTTCTTTGTTAGTTGGTAATTATGGCCTAACATTAACAAGAGAAATGTGTGCAAAAGAATCACTTGCAATGTTTCTTTGGACATGTGCACATAATCAATTTACTAGAAATGTGCAAAATCATTTTAAACATTCGGGAGAAACAGTAAGTAGAAAATTTGGTAAGGTTTTCAAGTGATATTGTGAAACCATCTTATTATAATTTTACTGAAACTCCCAATAAGATTCGACAAGATAGCAACTTTTGGCCTCATTTTAAAGGATGTACTGGTGCAACTGATGGTACATATGTTCGAAGAAGAACTGGTACCATTTATAGGTTGCAAAGGCATCCCCACTCAAAATGTGATGGTAGTTTGCAATTTTGACGTGATATTTACATTTGTAGTTATAGGGTGGCCTGGATCTACTCATAATGCACATGTTTTTACCTATACATTGGAAAGCATAAAGATGTGTTTCCTCATCCTCCTGATGGTAATAATTTTCTATTTATTTTGTATTATAGTTTTTTAGCACAAATCTTAATGAATTTTTAAGAAAATTTTTCACATTTATTATCAATGACTTTTCTCTTATATTTTAGGTAAATATTATCTTGTTAATGCTGGTTATCTTAATATAAAAGGATATTTGGCACCTTATAAAGGAGAAAGGTATCACATTCCTGATTTTAGACATGGAAGCTAACCAATCGGCTATCAAGAAGTATTCAACCATACTCATGCTTGTCTTAAAATTGTTATTGAACAATCTATTGGGTGTTGGAAAAATAGGTTTGAAATATTATTCGGCATGCGAAATTATTCATTTACAACACAGAGGAAGATAGTAGTTGCAATTATTGCACTTCATAATTATATGAGACAACATGCAAATAAGGATAAAGAATTTGATATGTGTGATTAGAACCCAAATTATATGCCTAAAGTATCTGGGGAAGAGAGCATGGATCAACGAATTTCTTACAACGGAGGATCGTGATATGATTTCACTTGGAGATTTCATAACTCTATCCTTAATGGAGAATCAATCAAGATGATTATTTGACATAAATTTTAATTTTAATTGTCTTATTTGTGTGACTTAAATGTAGTATATTGTATTTTTTAATATTAAAATATAAGCATTTATCTAGCATTTATGTTTTAAAATATGAATAATTAATTTTTAATCATCAACCTTAAACTAATTACAAAAATAAAATCATATAAAAATATAAAAAAAAATTGGAGTGGGAGTGATGATTAAATGTAGTATATTTTATTTTTTAATATTAAAATATAAGCATTTATATAGCATTTATGTTTTAGAATATGAATAATTAATTTTTAATCATCAACCTTAAACTAATTATAAAAATAAAGTCATATAAAAATATAAAAAATTTGGAGTGGGAGTGGTGATTAATTGTAGTATATTTTATTTTTTAATATTAAAATATAAGCATTTAT